AAAAAAAAGGGGTCTTCTGGTGAGGACTGAAAAACCTGCTAGACAAATTCCAAAAGAGCTGTAGCACTAAGAGCAGCTAAAATCTACTCATTTAGCATGAATCCCATATATAGTATAATTTTACCTATACTCCTCATGTTGTATAATACATTAGATCTCTAGGCTTGTTGTTCATCATACGTATCTACTACTTTATATTAACTGACCTATATCTCCCCATTTCCTTTTCCCTCTCCTCCCCCATTCCCCTGGTAACCACTGCTTTGTTCTCTCTGTCTATTTGAGTTTTTTTATATTTTATAATCCACATAGAAGTAAGATCATGCAATATTTTTCTTTCTGTGTCTGGCTTAATGTCCTCCAGGCTAATCCATGTTGTGGAAAATGGCAAGATTCTCTTTTAGAGCTGAATAATATTGCATTGTGTACCACAGTTTCTTTATCAATTCATCCATTAATATAGTCCCATAGCTGTTTAAAATCAAGTACCATATCTAAGAAAAAATTCATAGCCCTAAAAGAGAGCTGGGCATACCCCGAGGAACACAGTACATAGAAGTCCATAGAAATATTTATTTTATAGAGCCTTAGCAACTACATTTTACAAATAAGAAAAGTGATATCCAGAGGTATAAATTGATTTTCCAAAGGTTACACATCTGGTACAAAGCCAAAACTCATACTTCAACCTCTTAGGTGTATACTTTTTCCAGTAAGCCTGACTGCCTTGATGACAATGCCTATGAGGGGAAAAATCCCTATTCTTGGGTGTTTTTGTCCAGTGAAGTCCAGAGACAAGATGACATACCCACTACCATTATTGCCATTTTGTCATTTTTTTCTATGAGTCTCTCTTTTAAATAAAACTTTGTAAATAAAATTAAAGTTTCCTTTATCTTCAACCTTCAGTCTCATTCACCACTCTTCTCCTCAGAGGCAATTGGTATCATTACTTTAGTGAGGTTTGACTGTACAGAAACTCATGGGCAGTGGAACATGTCTTGGCCAGCTAATCAGGGGTCTGGAAGGAAAAAGAAGGTGAGAAACAAGGAGGTCTGGGGGTAGAGACATGTAGACAGGACATATGGGAGAGGGCACAAAGACTGAAGGCCTTTGTGTCACATGGTAATACCCATCAGAGAATACCATCATAGAGAAGACACTGAACAACCAAGTAGAAAAAAATCACGGCCAGCTGATGGCAGCCATCCTCTATCATCAGATATCCCAGAGCTGGCACCATCGATGCATTAATGAAGTAGCAGCCATGGTAGCTGGAATAACCTTTGCAAGACTTCAACAGCATGAGCTCCCACTTACAATCCAGGCTGATTTATCTATTGATACTGCCTAATGTCCAATATGCCAACACCAAAGACAAATGCTAAACCCCTCAAAACAGTAGTATCTCTTGAGGAAGCCAGCCTGTCACTTAATGTGAACTTGATTACTTGGAACCTTTCCCCCTTGAAAGTGGCAATGATTCATTTTGACATGAATAAATAAATATTCTTGGAATGGATTTCTCTTTCCTGTCTGCAGAGACCCAACCAGCACCACTATTTGAGGGCTTGCAGAGTGTGATCCAGTAGCTCAGGATATCATACAACCTTTGCATCAGACCAAGAGACTCACTTTATAATAAAGAAGGTGCAGGAGTGGGTATGATTATTGACTGGTTGTATTACTCCCAAAAGAGTGATGAAATGACCTTGTAAAGGCACAGCTAAAGTGCCAGCTCAGAGGCAATATCTTGAAAGGTACTCTTTAAATCTTTATATAAATCTATGACTCCAATAGGTAGAATACATGGGTCTGAAAAGTGAGTAAAAAGAGGAATAGCCCTGCGTAGTACATCATTCCCAGTGATGCACGTAGTAGGGTAGGCATAGATTTAGCAAATAAAAATACAGGAAACCCAGTTAAACTTGAATTTCAGGTAAACAACAAAAATTGTTAGTTTAAGTATGTCCCAGGCAATATTTGGGACATACTTATACTTTTAAAAATTATTATCTGCCGTTCAAATTTAATAGGGGCATCCTGTATTTTACCTGGTAACTTTACTACTTGAGGAATTTATACTTCCTGTGCCACAACTCTGGGCCTATGGGTTTAGAGGTCTTGGTTCCCAACTGGGGGACACTTCCACTAGGGGACACAGGAAGAGTTCCATTGAACTATAAACTATGGCCACCATCAGGGTAATTCTACTTCCTGTGCGAAGGCACCAGCAGGCAAGAAAAGGAGTCACCATCTTGTCAGGAGTAATTGACCCTGATCATCCAAAGGAGTTAGGGCTGCTGTTACACAATGGGAGTATGGAGGGAGATGTGGGGCATATAGGAAATGCACTTTGGTGCCTCTTGGGAATTCCTTGTCCCCTTATGATGATAAATGACAAGGTTGTTATCTCAGCCTGAGAAAGGTGTGGCGACCAGGGGCTCAGACCCTTCAGGAATGAGGCATGGTGCCTGGGTTAGCCACCTAATCACGGAGATGCTAGTTGAAGATTAGGGGAATCTAGAATGGATAGTAGAGGAAGTATTAAAAGATTGTGACTCAGTTGTGACTCTGAGGCCAGCAGCAGTGGTGGGAGCTTTAGTTTGTCCCACTAACCTTCTCCTTCTAGATTTCTCCTAGGAAGAGAGGACTACTGGAATCCTGGAGGATCTGCTTCCAGAACCTATATGAAAGAAGTGAATTTCAGAAGCACAAGGTTTGGACTTTGTGGATGTCTTGATTTGCCATCCAGGTCCTCCTTCAGGAGCGTAGGACTTACTCTCAGGTTGCCAGTGTGCTGTTGTAAGAAGGCTGTTAAGTTTCAGCCCTCTTTGGGAATTATTTTAGCTGAAGAAAACTGCTTTGCCCAAAGTCATGATTCCTTTCAGGAACAGCCAACATCCAATGACTAACCTATCCAAGAGTAAAAAGGTCAATCTCCTTGACTCAAATTGAGAGAACTCTTAAGAGTCATCTCAACTCCAGGACTCCCTTCAGGGTCTGCTGAGGCCATCACTGGATCTGTATTGCAGCTCAGCTTCTCCCTCTGTCCAATCCTGTTTCTTTTGCATCCCTTTCCACAAATGGTGATCCCAATAGTACTATCTAATAAATGTCTTACATATATATACATGTCCATCTCAGGGTCTGCTTTCCAAGAAAACTAAACTGTGAAAAGCAACAACAGAGGACAGAGGACAAAGGAGTAGTAAGTGTTGAGAGAAAATAATTATATGTAAAATTTAATACTCATCTAGGTGACCATTCATAAGGAAAAAAATCAAGTATACA